CTTGAGATCGAAGAGCAGAAAACAAAGCAAAGAAAACGCGATGCCGGCCGTTTCGTGGATTCCCTTGCATCAGTCTGAGACGTCGACCAGGACGAGTTTGAAGAGCGTAGCGGATTATTTGGTGAGACGATTTTTTTTTTTTTTTTTTTTTTTTTTTTTCAATTAAATTTTTATACGTCCCTTACTTGTTGATCAATAAATTTTCAGTTAATAAGATTACTCGGTGATTGTTTTGATTATACATATCTAAAAAATATGACTTTTTAAAACATGTATTGTATCATTGTGTATTAAAATTTTTAAATACTTCAATTATTATATAACTCCATGCATTTAGTCATACAATAGTTATTGAACTGAACTATAATTGTTTTATCGTTCAACGGCATCGATTTTTCGCATTTTCAGTCTGAAACACCCGAGGAAGTCTTTGTCTCCCAGAGAAGCCTGTGCGTTAGCCCTGAAACCCTGGACGTTTTGGAAAACGCCGAAAAACTCTTGGAAGACACGGAAAAACAATTATCGCAAATGAATTTCTTTGCTTTCGACGATGACGAATCGAATAAGGAAAACGGGTTGGTAAAAGTTAACTTCAATCCCTTTAAGTCTTTATGGAAATTTTTCACGATTGACTAACCCTAAAATATCGTAATTTTCAAGATATTCGCACGAAAACATTTACGTCCGAAATGTCGTCGCCTCGATGTTTGAGAAAGGATACTACGATCCAGGCCCTGTTCCAATGAAGAGCCACTTCACATCGAAACTCACACTTTCCGGATCGGCCGGTAACATGAAACCGCCAATCTACCGACATTTTCGTCCTGCAAAACAAACCAGTGCAACGACATTGGAAAAAATTCCAGCCGCAAACGACTGTATACTTTGCAAATCGAAGAGAAACGACCCTCCCAAACAAAATACCGAAGACTTGAGAACAGAACCAGTCAGTAACAAAAGAACAGACGACAGTGGCAAGCCCGACAAGCTGAACCTGCAAAGAGGGCCGAGCATCAGCATCAAGGGCGATTTTTCCGTGCAGACCGTCAAGATCGTCGATATTCGACCTGATCCTGCTGTTTGTCGAGTTTCCAGCAGTGAACAGATGGAGAACGTTGCCACTTTTGTGTGCCACCACGACCCAAATAGCAAAAAAAATTCCCTCAACTCTAACAGCCCCGCAAGCCCGAGAACATCACGGACTGCTGATAAAGTAGAAATTGATCCAAACTCAGAAGTACCGATTACCAGTGTGCGGGAATCATTGGAAATTAAAAAGACCGTCGAGCCATCGCGATCCAAAGAGAACTCGATCGAGGATTACTTGGCTGAAATGCAGTTGTGCGAGAATCGTAAAAAATCGGCATTTTGGGAGAAACTCGAGTCCCTAGGCTTGGAGGGCAGTTTGAGCGACCTCAGTCTGTGGGAGCCGCCGATCCTCACGGAAATGGACTCCGTCTTGGAGCACCGGTGGAACGTGATCCGGCAAGTGCAAGGCGCCACCGAGAGGTTCGACCAGTTTATTGCCGATAGATTACCCGCTGTTTCGGTTTCCCAGGGGGATGGTATCGTCGCGGAAAAAAAAATCGGCGATTGCAAAGTAACCGAACTTACAAGGCAAATCAAGGCTCTGAACAGAAACAAAAACTTTGCTCCGAGCACGTCGAGAGCACCGGAACCCATTGCACCAACAGCTAGTAAGACGATTATTACCGATCGTTATTCGGATGTCGATTTTACGGACGAAGACGTCACTTTGGACTCGAGTGCGATCGAGAGACCGGACAATAACGATTCTGCACCAGAGAAGTGCGAAGTACCCAAGGACATTCGTGGATTTGGGTCGCCAAAGCCAGAAGCCGAAGGTGAGAACGAGGAAGCGAAGGAGGACCGATCCGTGACTCGAACGTCTACTCATACCCAAACGAAATCGACGTCCGGTATCGAAAACGTTAAGAGCGCGCAGATCTGGGATGACAACAATTTGGACGTCAATCTTAATCAGAGGGACACAGGTGGGATTTCAAGAGACGGCGATGATAAAATTGTGGAACAGGTCGAGAATCTATCGAGAGATGAGAATGGTGGTGCTGTTGCAGAGGTCGAAAAATCTTTATTCAAGAAGAAAATGGGAAATGATGATGATGGAGGAAAAGGAGGATCCAGTGATAGAGAAGTATCTCGAAAAGTTGAGAGTAAACAGAGAGACAGCACAGAAAGAGTATCGGAACGGTTGGACGAAAATTCGCAGAAAACGTCGCATCTGGTGGAAAGCATATCCGACATATCGTCGGATAAAGTAAAAGATTACGTGGACAATTTGTCGAATTCGCTTAGATTGTCGACGTTGTCCAATGACAAAAGTGACAACGTTACCAGCAAAACTAAGGGGAATTTGAGCGAAAAATCGGCTAGCGAGGGATCGACGGAGTCGAAAATCGAGAAGCAAATATCCGAGGCCAGAGAGAATCTGAACAATCTGATCACGAGTATGGACAACAAGGATAATGGCGTGTGTCACTTGGACGATGAATCGATTGGCTCAGTTCAGAGGGGGTTCGATGAAGTTTCGACTGTTTTCCGAGTCCCCGAAACGCCGGTAGCTAAACTTGTTTTTGAGAGCAGTTTGAAGTCAGACCTTCGTCGGCTGGAAAGAAGTGTGGTCATGGAAAATACAGCGCTCGTTTGTCAGAAGCCCAACTTGTTTGATTCACGGTACGAAAAACTCGGTACACCCACACTTGAAGTAACGTTGCGATTGACTTTTTACGATTCCACTGACTGGGCTGTTTCACGTTTATTTTGGGAATAAAAAAAAAAAAAAAAAAATCCTCGACCAGTGTAATCGTGAATAGTTGCGTAAATATTATTGCATGACTTTGTGTTCCAAAAAATGACGAAATGTTTGACGAATAACTTTTTTTTGTGGTAAAAATAAGCTATTCTAAGAGAAAATAACGAAAAATATAATTTTACTCAATAATTGCACAGATCACTCGTGACGGCGCTAGAAGAAAACAGCAGTGGTTTGAAGGAAGCGGTTCAACAGCGCAAAATTAACATACTCAACAGATTGGAGTCTTGCGCTATTGGCTCTCAACGCCAGGGTAAAGGATTTTTCACGTCCACTGTTCTCGCCGATACGGAATTGCCTGGCAATACCAGCAGCTTAAGAAAAATCAAAGGATTGGTATGTTAACGTTTTATAAGCGTAATTTTTTTTTTTTTTTTTTTAATTTCAATCCAAACAATGTAATCTTCTAGAAGTCATTGTGACGTTGAAAGTTTTATACTTGCACTGTATTCTCGCAATGTTTGTTTCTATCATCTACATGTATAGGTTGAAAGTTTTCGTTTTAATAGTAGAATATAGTGAAAAAACTTGGTGAAGAAAAAATTTCATAACCGCAAATTTGTCTTGTTATTGAATTATAGTCGGAGTCATCGTCCGATACGCATTCAGAGGGCGAAATACGCTTAAGCAGATCCACGTCATATTCCGCTGGCGAGGTCAAAAGAAGATTCGATTCAAACAAGTCGAGCTCTTCCATTAAGTCATCTCTGAGTGATAACTGCTTGTAGTGATTTTTCATTGCAGGATTTAAATATAAGCTTAAAGCTAGCTCATTTCACAGTACACATGTAATTATCACTTACACACGTGATATTAAAAGTTTTAATTTTGCTAATGTGTACAAAAATCGATTAACGTTTTTTTAAATAATCTCATAGCGATTTTTATTATCATCATTACAATTTATCGATCATTACGTTATTATGGATTAAGAATGATCTGATTTTATTTTTACATCGATTAAAGTTTCATGCAACCATAAATACTATATAGGTACTACTTTCCAAAAATTTGTGAAGTTACTTGGTCGTAACTAAGTGTAAAATATTTCGAACAGTTTAATAAATTGCAAAAAAAAAAAAAATTCTACAAAAATTTTTGTGTTGCTGTAACTATTTTTATTAGATTTTTCCTTACTATTTGTTTTATTTTTCATTTTGTTATTGCCTGTACTTACAAGGCGTATCAGTCTTTAAACTAGCAGAAAAACAACCAACAAGTGTTTTCATTCGTCTTTATTGCACCTCGTACGTACTTTCTCCGATGATGGCTAACAACAAAAGGTTCATGTATTTATTATGTTGTATCAATCAAAACGTTTATATACTTATTAGTCGCAGGTACGTAATTATAAAAATATTGGAGTAAGTTGTAGTACCATCGCACAACCTAAACTAACTGGAAATTAAAAGCCTATAAGTCCATCCAGCACAAGCGATGTATGACACTGACAGCTATACAGGCTATATACTTTACACATAGTATGGAGCCCTCGCTCTTGTGTGTATTTCAATCAGCGCCATCTAGCGTGCGATTTTTCTCGTCGCTCATAGACCCTACTGACGTTTTTTTTTTTTGGCCGGCGAAGAAAAACACAACTCATATTTCTCCGTTGAAAATGACGTAGAGAAATCTGAGTTGTGCTCTTTTTGTTCGCCCACAAACTGGTTATATTCGACGGCCCGGATACCCTACGAACGTTTTTTTGCTTCGGGCATGATCCAGTGATCGGGCTACGTCGGTGGGGGTGGCCTTTCAGGCCTTTGCTCGGGCCTTTGCTCTTGAAGATCACGCCCGAAGCAAAAAAACGTCCGTAGGGTATCCGGGCCGTCGAATATAGCCAGTTTGTCAGCGGACAAAAAAAACACAACTCAGATTTCTCCATGACATTTTAAACAACGAAACATGAGTTATGTTTTTCTTCGTCTACCAAAAAAACCGAAAGTCAGGTAAAGCTGTGACCGCGGTCAAGGTGGGCAATGTGGCAACCAAGCTTTGCCCCATATTTTGCCCACTTTTAGTTTCGACTCCGGATCCGGACTTCCCGTAAACACGCGCGCGCGCGCGCGCACACATTCACACACACACGAGAAAGACGATCGCAACGCAGACGATTGAGACGAATCAAAGTAGTATTAAACCGATCAAACGATATGCGATGATACTTATTACCGTTTGCAAAAGTCGTGTGGGAAGATATATAAGTTTGTTAAAAAAATCGAGGGAGACGCTCGCAGGGCCGGACACACTGTGAGCATCACCGTAGCTAAAGCAGGATACATTCGGGGCTGATGCGAGAGTCGCAAGAGTCGCAGAGGTGGTGCACCAAGATAGTCACCAAACGGGGTTGGATCTACTCTCCTCCCTCGTGGTTGCTCTCTCTGGGAGGGGAGAACCAAATGGATCACGACGAGCAGCAGGTACCTCCCCAGCAGAGGGTCATCGGGTACTGGATAAACGAGAAGAAGAGGCTCAAGTACAACTGGGATGAGTTTCGCGAGATCTGCGCTAGGGAGGGATTCGCCGTGAAGATGGTGAGTTTTGTTCATGCATTCTTAAAGATTGTTTATTTCGCATAATTTTAAACCTAATACCACGTCAATCTCATAATTTGCACTATTTCTCATCATCCTTCATTTCACTTGGATTTTATGAAAACTACTACAATCCAGCAATTCAAATTGAATCGGCCTAATAAACATTGTTTTGGTCATTGTAGGTAATGATAGATTTCATCCCATCGTTTAAACAATATTAATGGTACTTTAATATACTGAGTAGTTGAATTGAATCAGCTTTTTTCTGTGGTGATAAGATGTTTCCAGTGCTTGTTGTTAATTGACCAATATCAGCTGACAATTTCACAAGAATGAGCCAAGCAACTATCGTTTAACGTCGTATTTTTTTTTGTCAGTTACCATTCCAAAAAACGTTTTTATATCATGATGTTTTTTTATTTTTTTATTATAAATTAAATAAAAGAAATGCATTTTTAATCTAAAATATTCTTACAGATAAACATCGAGACTAATTTAGATTCTCAGGGACCAATTCACGTATTTTTCTACAAACTTACTGACATACTAGCTCACGCAGAAGATGGTAATAAGCACGTAAGTGTCTCTTTATTCTGGCAATTAGAATAATGAATCTTGAACGCTTCAACTATCTGTCGCCTACACAAGGTTTTTTTTTTTTTGTTCAAAAATAACTGTTTTTTTTTTTTTTTAATTTATTTCACGTTGAAATATAATTGCATAAGTAGCTTGGACATGAGTTAAAGTGTCAATGAAGAATGATTCTAATTTATGCGTGACACGTGTGAATTTTATGACTCAAAGCACTAATTTTCATATGCTTTTTATACAACACTTATTCATTGCTAACATGCAACACCTTTTTTTTTACTAAGGCTAAAGTCATCGTCACCAGATTGCAAGATTACATTCGAAAGCATCCAGAACTGATTGTCATAGATCCTTTTGAAAACGTTCAAAATTTGCGCAATCGCTTCAAATCCTATGAAATGATACAAAATGGTCTACAGAACGACGGTCAATACACAAATATTATTTTTTAAAGGCAAAAGTAACACTTGTTTGGAACGTTTCTTTGAATGCATTATGTTTTTAGATGATATCTTCATTCCAAATTTTGTTGAAGTCAAAACAAAAAATACGAATGAGATAATGAACACATTCAAAGAAAATGGAATAAAGTTTCCGTGTGTCTGTAAGCCTCTGATAGCTCAAGGATCAAGTGATGCACACAAGGTAATACTAAAACAGTATTAGTTTTTGCAGTTAATAAAGTAAATGGTGGAGTTTATCAGTGCGTTTATATCTGCAGATGATGGTGATTTTTAATGAACAAGGATTGGCAGATTGTCAGCTTCCTTGTGTCGCTCAGAATTTCATCAATCACAATGCCATTTTGTACAAAGTATATGTAGTTTCGGATCATTTTTGCTTCGTTGAAAGACCTAGCTTCAAGAACTTTTATGCAAAAGACTGTGAATTGATGAACACTATTTTTTTTAATTCTCACGATATTTCAAAAAGTGGTTCAAATTCCAAATGGTCCATCATTTCAGAGCAAGAAAAAAATTTCACCATAAAACCAAAATACGAAGTTTTTGAGAAGATCGTCAAAAAGATAGAAAATATTTTCGAGCTACTTCTGGTCGGGGTAGACGTCGTAATAGAAAACCACACGGGGAAATACGCCATTATTGATGTCAATGCTTTTCCGGGCTATGACGGCTATCCAAATTTTTTTTGTGACTTGATAGGAAGCATAAAAAAAGTCTTAAATGACAAATTGCCCTCACAAAATAATGATAGAAGTCCAACTTTAAAGAAATGCCTTAGCGACGATCTTGACTCTGGTTTTGAAAGTGACGAGAAAAAAAAGCTGTCAATGTTGTAACAATGAAAGTAAGATGTGTCGTACAACGTTGTTTTTTTAAAAGAACAAGAAAGTTATTTTGGGTATATTTTTTTAATGCTGTTGAAATATTTTATTTATATTGTTGCACATCTTTTTTTGTACTTAACTGAGAAATTTGTTCAATACTCAATGTGTATATAAAACCGAATATTTAAAACTTTTGTACATATTACGAGATGCTTGAATTATTTTTATTTAATTAAGTAAGCGTCTGTTCATGCTTTCATTGCTGGCAATGGACATGGCATGTATTAACAAGAAATCAATCCAGTTTTTCAAGTTTACACTTGTTTTATTTTTTAGTAAATTTTTCTAAGATGAAATGATATGCAATAACTTTGTTAATTTTATCATGCTAATTTGATTTTGTTTGAATGTAATTCGTTATAGGCAATATGCAGCGAAAAACGAATAATGGTTTATTATCACATTGGATGTGCAAAAATAATTTATGCAGCAAAATTTTCCTGCATAATTTTCTAGTTAAGAGTTATTCAGTTTGGAAATTAATATATAAATGAATAATTTATTTCAACGTTACGTTCCTAGTAATGGTTAGACTTGCTGAGTATATAAATGATTTTTGGTTTATCAATTATGGATATTAAAATACAAATTTACAATTTTATACTATTTTACATAAGTAAAAATTTTGTAATATTAAATTTGTAAAATAAATCTACGTCTATTTTTTGTCGTAAAAATCTAATTCTTTTCAAATACCTCCCAAATCATTTTGTGATCGTTCTTGTGGAAATGATTTTTTTTTTTTACAATAGTGCTAGTGCCGAAGAAAATGTTTTTTTTGTATTTCATGCAATCAGCTTTCAAAAATGTTGCTGAACAGAGAAATTATTTAACTCAAGGTTTTTTTACATTGTGTAATAGTCAATACTTAGCAGGGTGTTAATTTTCTTGAAAATAATTATTTCTATTAAATTTTGTGAAGTATGTACAAAAAGTTAGTTTAATAATTTTCAAATATTTACAAATCAAAAATAAAAGTGTAAAACATTATTCACTAGCCACTTTCTCCTTTTCTTTCGCTTCTTTTTCAGCTTTTTGTTTCAACCATGCTTGAGCTGAAGCCAGAATCTTGAGATTAGGACGATTTTGTTCATCTTCAGGAAATATAAATTCAAACACTTCTTCCCAACCATCGTCGCTCTGAAAATCACAAATTAATTAAAAAGTGTATTTCTCAATAGTACAATAAAAAATACAATTCTTACCCCATCTTCGGAAATAACTCTCCTCCTCTGCTTGACTCGACGTGGCATTTTTGCTGCAATTTTTGCGCGACTGTTATCATCACCAAACTCATTTTCAAAGACACGCCACGCCTCCAGCAGTAATGCCCGACTTTCTTTATCTCCTTGAGATTTCAAAGAATCATTTCCACGTTCATAAATGCGTCTGGCCAAGTCGACATTGTTTACGTCTTCTTCCGACACTGTATTCGTCATTTCAAATTTCGCATATGCTATCCAAACCTACAATCGGAAAAAATATGATTCGATAGCTGTCAGGCCTTATTCTTAGATAGACTTTCAAATAATCATTTGTTTTACCTTGACATGCAATGTTCGTTCAAGTAATCTTTCGTACAACTGTCTAGCATGATCCGGCTCTTGTTGCGTGACTTCAAAATCTATGTAAGCCTTCCATGTCACCTCAGGCATATCGAGTCTAATAAAAAGACGCATATTACTTTACTTACTAAGGAATGAATATGAAAAAAAGAATATTGATTTTTACCTTGGTTGGCTGACGGCTAACTCATATATAGCCCGAGCTCTTTCAGTGTCACCCAACGAAGCTTCAAGTTCTGCAAACTACGAATTAAAATTATTACATGGATAAACTTTTATACTAAAAAAAATTTATTATTTTTATCATGACTGCATACTTTCATCCATGTGGTGCAATTCTCTGGATTGAATTCCAAAAATTTTTGATACAATATTCTGCATCTGTCAAACTCTCGTAGTTGGATTTCTAAATCTATATAATTACGGTACAGCTTGTCCCTTGGACAAATGCCAAGTGCCATACCCTATTGAAGTAATTTTGTGTTAAAAATATTCACACTCAACAGTGCAAAACTTTAAATTAAATATTTGAATTTTACTTACAAGCGTTTTTCTGGCTACAATAAGATTTTTCTGTCTGATTTCAAACTGTGCATAGTACAGCCACATTTTCGAAAAAGTAAAATGTTTATGGGGTATCATTTCTAAACACACCCTGATAAAAAGAAATGTATCAAATTGAAATCATAAGTGAAATAACTTGTTTAGTTGAATAAAAGTTAACTTACTTGTAAACTTGACGACATCTCTCGACATCTTCTGCCTCTAGTTCCTCAAAAATAGCATAGTTTATCCACAGGTAAATGTACCTCCGCCAAAATTCTTTATCCTGCAAAACAAAACAAATTTTTATACAACTTTATGACAATTTATATATACAATATGAAAAAAATCCATCATTACCTTAGTAGGGGGTACGTTTGCAATAGCTCTTTCATAAGTTTCCCTGATAACATCAACGTTTCCTTCCGACTCTACCAATCGCAAATAATCAAACCACGCATCATAATTAGAAGGATTTTCTTTGACTTCCTGCTCATACTGGTGTTTTCTTTTACTAACAATCACATCCTCAATGCCTACAAGAATACTATGTACAGTGTTTGTAAAAAAAAAAATTTATCTAAAATGCATGAGTTTGTCCCATTACATTTAGACCGGGTGATAGTGTTTCTTACCTGAGCGATCACCGTACTTTTTCTCATGAATCGTGTAAGATTTATAAATTTCTTGTGTTTTTTCCTTAGGAATATGGTCTAATGCATATTTATAAATGACTCTGGCTCTGTCATGCTGTAAAAAGTAAAGTTAAAGATTACTGTTACTTTTTTAAGTGGAGCTAATCAAAAGTATTTAAAATACTAACTTCTCTTTGACCCTCTTCAAACTTTGCAAAGGCAATGATTAACTTTTCTTCAATGTTTTCATCCCCAAAAAAAGTAACTGCCCTCTCATATACTCTACGAGCACCATTCACGTAGCCGTGAGACTCTTCAAATCGAGCATATTTTATCCAATGCTTAACCACTGGATGGACCATAACGAATCTTTCAAATATTTGTCTGGCTCTTTCAAGTTCCTTGTACCTGAGTTCAAAATTAATATAAGTCTGCCAGGCTTGCTCATGTGGTTCCCATTCCATCCAGCGTTCAAATACTTGACGAGCACCGGCTATATTTTCCAACATTTCTTCCATGTATGTATATTTGTACCAAAACTGATTTACTCTTGGCAAAATTGTAACGGCTCTGTCCCACAAATTCCTGGCGTGATTCACCTGTCGGTTTCTCATTTCCATTTCTGAATACTTTAGCCATAATACTATGTTTCTGTGATCTACGTCTAGTGCTCTTTCGTAAATAGATCTGTGAATCGTAATCACAAAAAATAATGAAGAATTCGTTCCCAGAGAATTCTCAAATTCAAATATTTAACTTACCTCGCTCTTTCTATCTGTTTTTGAGTCTCCTCCCAATGTGCATATTTTATCCATGTTGCAATAGACAAACGGTTTTTCCTGATTGAATCTTCAAAAGTTTTTCTTTTCCGATGCTGATAATCAGCCAACTCATGTGGATCAGAGATCTTTTGTTTTGGAGGCTAAGGTACAAATACATAACATGAGTTGAATTCGTACAAAAATAAATGTTAATTGATGCATTCAATATTCTGCATATAACTTGCAAGTACGCACCGGTGGTAAGATTTCTAAATCTCGCTCTTTTGCTTCACGCAAAAGCTGTTCTGCTGTGATCTGGATTTCAGCGGGTGCTTTGTTTTTCACCTAAAATTAAAATCATGAGATTTAGATAAAAGTTCATAGTATAACTCTAAAATAGTTTGTACCATTCAATGAGTGTACATGTACGAAAAAATACCTTGTAAAGATTTGAATCAACATTATAGTTAAAATCACATGTTCATTGATTTAATTGAAACATTAAATAATATTTGCAATGAATTGTGATGTAAAAATTTTCACCAATAAAGTTTACTGATAAAGTTTGACAAGGAACATCGACTGCATGTAACTATTTGTTTCAACAAAAATCTTTACAAGTTTTAACAAAGAATTGATGAAGACGCTATTTTTCAGGGATAAGTAACGTGAAAAAACATGTACCCATCCAAGGACTTGTTTTTTATCAATTGTAAACATTTGTTATTTAAGGTTAGAATCAGAAATAGCCAAGACGTTCAATAGAAGGTAAAAATGAAGTTTAAAAATGATGCACTGATAAGCGAATAAATATAAACATGTTTTTGAGACAATACCTTTGCCACTTTGGGCATTTTTTGTGGCTTCTCCATTCTTAAACGCTGTGTCTAAAAGAAAAAAGTTAAGCAATCCCAAAAACTTGAGTTCTGACTTCTGATCTCTGACAGAGACTCGGACCTACGGCGTTGGGACTTGGGACCATTTGTGTAAAAACGTATAAGCACACACAAGAACAAGAACAAGTATGAGTGCACAGAAACACGTATATAACTATATACTATACACTACAATTATAATATTAATATACGTGAATCGAGAATACGAGTGACGAAAGCGCGCGCACACAACAAGTTGCAAAGCAGACGGTTTCTATTTCATTTTCTTAAGTATACGCAGCTTATAATTGTTACATCGTTATACGTGGGAAAGAGATTTGTTAAAAAAAAGAAATATATACATAATTCTATAAACTTTATACACATGTTTACTTCGGATTTTATCATTCTGGTAAAGAGAGCACGGTGTAAGATATACGTAAAGTTATGTGTTATATAAAGTAATTATAATAATCACTACTAAGTACTGCCATTTGGGTTATTTGGTCGATTTTTTTTATTAAACCATTTAAGTAGAATATCTATATACTTTTGGAGGTCGATTTTCAAGTAAAAGACAAATTGTACACTTGCCGCAAACAGCACAAACAACGTCAACTTTTTATCTTCTATCTGCAAGATTAGTTGCGGCTGGTTTATAATTGATAAAGTAACTTTGCTGTAAATAGCAATAATTATTTGGATCAGCGCCATCTAGCGGTCTTTATTTTTTGGCCAAAAGTGGCTCCTAAAATTCTGAATCAGAGGAATCAGGATTAGAGCCATTTAGCCAATTATAAACCAGCCGCAACTTATGGTGAAGCTATAAAATCAAAAAATAATAATACGTGTGTTTTTGGCGGCAAGTTAACAATCTATTTTCTACCAAAAAATTGACCTCATATGTATTTATACTTTTGATGATGAATTTTCGAGTAAAAGATAGATTGTTTACTTGCCGCCAAAAACACACGTATCGTTATTTTTTCATTTTATAGTTTTATTATGAGTTGCGGCTGGTTTATAAGTGACTAAATGGCTCTACGCGCTAAAGCTCTGGCTGAAAAGTTTAGGGCCACTTTTTAGTTCAGAAATCNGAGCCACTTTTGACAAAAAATAAAGACCGCTAGATGGCGCTGATCTAAATAATTATTACTATTTACGGTAAAGCCATTTTATTAGTTATAAACCAGCCGCAAATAATCTTATAAATAGACAATTATTAGTTGACACTTACTATGCTAAATGCGGCAAGTTTACAATCTATCTTTTATCCAAAAATTGACCTCTACAAGTAAACAAATATTCACCTTATCTTATACGGCTTATAAAATCTACCATATTTACAAAATTACAATACTTTAGACCTTTTATCATTAACTAACGGAAGCACAGCCCTTTAACTTTATAGTTTAAATAAACAGTTAACTTATATAATATGTACATACCAAGATTTGTGTTACAGAAATCTTGAACAATGATTAAATAGAAACGTAAAGTAATCAGTCCAAAAGAGACAACTGAAGAAAAAAGGCTTAAAATTAAAGTTTAGTCACACAGGAAGAGTCTCCTAAAAATAGAGCGATGGATCTCACCTAATCAGAGTTGTTTCAGATTTAACGAATGTGAAAATTCACAATTTTATGCTAAGGATTTGTGTTCATTTGGATAATGAAGAAAATTTGTTAATCTTTATTTGTTTTACATTTAACAAATAATTGATGATGATTACACAAGCAGCTTTGATATCTTATTGTAAGTCTGCAGAAGCAGATTCTCCCCATCCTACCTTGATTAATTTTTTAATTTAAATGACCTTGTGTGTACACTGTTAAATAATTTTGAATATTAAAAGTTAACAAGTTGTTGTATGTAATAAATTCATTTTGATTAATCCTCAAAAATGTTGTAATGGTCCATGTTGGATTAAAAAACTATGAGTCGCTGAAATCTGTAATATTTTTTTTCTTATGTACATATGATATATGTTCCTCTGCAATATATCACACATTTGTGTTGTGAGGTTTTAATATTACAATAACAAAGGTTGATAGCGCACAAGTTAAAAGTCTCAACTAGCATCAAAAACAGTAGAATACATAAGTACATGAATTAATCAGTCCAAAAGAGACAACTGAAGAAAAAAGGACTGAAAAAGATGCACAGTCACAGTAAGAGTCTCCTAAGAATGGAGCATTGGATCTCACTAAATAAAAAATACATTTATTACAGAGAAGTAAATTTGAAGTATTATAAATAAACAAAGAACCCAACCTTCTCTGATTGAGTGAGATCCAATGCTCCATTTTTAGGAGACTCTTCCTGTGTGACTGAACTTTTTTTTAAAGTCTTTTTTCTTCAGTTGTCTCTTTTCGACTGATTACTTTACGTTTCTATTTAATCATTGTTCAAGATTTCTGTAACACAAATCTTGGTATGTACATATTATATAAGTTAACTGTTTATTTAAACTATAAAGTTAAAAGGCTGTGCTTCAGTTAGTTAATGATAAAAGATCTAAAGTATTGTAATTTTGTAAATATGGTCGATTTTATAAGCCGTATAAGATAAGTAGAATATTTATTTACTTGTAGTGATCCATTTTCAGGTAAAAGATAAGTTGTAAACTTGCCGCAAACAGCACAGACAGTGTTAACTTATTATTTTGTATCCTTAAGATTAGTTGCGGCTGGTTTATAATTAATAAAGTGACTTTGCTGTAAATAGCAATAATTATTTGGATCAGCGCCATCTAGCGGTCTTTATTTTTTGGCCAAAAGTGGCTCCTAAAATTCTGAATCAGAGGAATCAGGATAAAAGCTATTTAGCCAATTATAAACCAGCCGCAACTCGTGTTAAAGCCATAAAATCAAAAAATAAGAAAACATGTGTTTTTGGCGGCAATTAAACAATCTATCCTATGCTCGAAAATGTATCTTTAAAGGTATAAATACATAGAAGGTCGATTTTTTGGAAGAAAATAGATTGTTAAATTGCCGCTAAAAACACATGTATTCTTATTTTTTGATTTTATAGCTGCATCACGAGTTGCGGCTGGTTTATAATTGGCTAAATAGCTCTAATCGTGATTCCTCTGATTCAGAATTTTAGGAGCTACTTTTGGCCAAAAAGTAAAGACCGCTAGATGGCGCTGATCCAAACAATTATTACTATATTTATAGTTGGCACATGTAAGAAAATACAAAGCCAATAAACTAACTTAAACTACTCATAGTACTCAAAGCGTAGAAGTAGTTGATTATAAACCAGCCGCAACTAATCCCATAGATACCAACAAGATCAAATGTTGAAGTTGTTGTAACTAATTACTACCCATTACTCTATGTATATTTTCCACCGTGCTCTCTTTTTACCAGAATGATAAAATCCGAAGTAAATATATGTATAAAATTAATGTGTATATATATACATATGTGTGTGTGTGTGTATATATTTATATATTGAACAAATCCTGTTCCCACGTACAACGATGTAACAATTATGCTGTGTAAATGAAATAGAAACCGTCTGCTTTGCAACTTGTTGTGTGCGCGCTTTCGTACTTACACGTTTACAAAATGAGCACTATCTATTCACACATGCACTACAACTCTAAAAAAACACCTTAATTATATTCTGCGTGTAAAAAAATTGTAAACAATCACTTGTTCCTTACGGTTTCTGTGCATTCCCGAAAACATGCAAAGGCACAAAGGTGCGTTTCGATGGAGTCTGGCAATCTGTAGACTGTCCTTTAAGTGCCCTGAGAAGCTGTAAGGACTTCATCTAAACGCATCCAAATCGGGACTTTAGTGTTAATATTGACTAAGTAAAGTGTATACATCCTTAATTATAATAATTGAAATGAAAAGTTGCAATAAGATTTCATACTACGATAAAATATTTTGAGATTTACAGTACTGAGAAATTTATTTATTTTCTATACTTTATTAAAAATTGCAATTATTTAATGTAAAAAATAATAAAAAAATCTTTGCACCTTACAATTTAATCGTAAATTTCAAGATTTACGATTATGTGAACAACATTCTCTTTTTTTAATAAATAATACGTTTCCATTGATTCAAATGGGGGTATGGATTTCTTTGGGACCAAGTGATTGTTTAACATTGAAATTCAAAAAAGATCACAGGCAGTGACAGAAATATTTTACTGATCGTGCGAAAAATCGTACAACCAATGGGAAAGAAAAATTCTGTATTGATTACTGCTGATTGCGGCATTACAGAGTAAACGAAATTAATCTTTCGGGCATCACATTTACATTAACACGCAAGATATATGTATGCAAATTTAAAAGGCATATGTCGACGAAAGTGATGTAAACAAAAACACGTTCGCCCCGTATGTAAGTGTGCACACACACACGACGAAGTCGATTACAACGTGCACAATCACATAAATGTATCACAGAAACAATCATGCGATTTTCAAAAATAAATCCTATCGTCTGATCCTCGCGCAGTTTACTTGTATCCACTACACGTTGATCGCCGTTATTGCTTTCCTCTTCGTGCTGCTGAATAACATAAACTCGCTGAATTCTTAAAAGTCCGAAGGTGAGTTTCAACGTTTTATTATTTTTTTGCAACTGTTGTTCCATGCGTTTGTTGTCTCTCGAAGATTGAGAAGAAAAAAGAAGGAATAAGAAAATACCAATTATTACCAGTGCTGTCAAAGCGTCATTCCTCCGTCTCGCGTTAGTTTTTCATTCCGTCGTGCTAAGCTTTGAAATATTATTGTTTAGAGCAACGTCGAAATCCAAAAATTATATTTATTAAAAAAAAGAACATTAGGTTCGTTACAATAAATGAATACTCTCTGTAACGGTAAAATTTGTGAATTTCAAAATTTATCCTTTGAACTATTTCTAATTGTTAAACTTTCGAGTCCGAGTTTCATTACATTTTATATAAAATTAAAAACTAGGAGATATCTTCACGAAAATGTGAATGAATCAAGCATACCGATGAGTATAAGTATTTCATCGCTGATCACCTTCTTATTTTCAGCAACAACAAAACTCTATGAATGAACGATGTCGTCGGAATTCCATATGACCAAATCGCCGGAATTCGAGTTGCAGGTCATAGTATACCCAGCGAAATCCTACTCGGGTCTCAAATACACGAGGATGCACATGCGGGCCAAGAAAATCGAAATACAACGGCGATTGAAAAGAAGGAATTTAACGGCCTCCAAAAGAACGGCTTTAGCCCAAGCGATAGTACAAAACGCAGTCTCCCTGCGAGATTCGTCGGTTTCTTCGTGCGAACCGCTAAAGTTTAGCGTTCCTAGTCCTACGCCCATCCCCTTCTATGACTCCGATTCCAGTCCATCGGGTAATCTGTTTAAAGATCCGCCGGAAAAGGTATGCTCAATTATTGTACATTTTGAACAAATTTTTTTTTTCTTAGTAAAATCAACTACCCGGTTATTTCGATATCGAAGGAGTTTTTTTTAACCCTCGTTCCGTCTAGGTAAAAGCGAAATAAAAGGATATTCAACGACCCAATTAGTTTTTAAGAAATTTTCTTCGTATAGGATCTCCAATATAAATTATCAAGAAATGTTGGACACGTATTTTTTTCTTTTTGCGCATGAACAAAAATTGAGGGAAACACGAGAGTATCGAAAAAGACAAACCACGTCTCAAATATTCTTTTAAAGCATTGAAAATCATAAATTAGCATAAGGGCACGTAGTAATGATAAAAGTTCCTCGCGCCTTGTTTAACTTTCTTTCAGATGCGAGATCATACAGCGACTCACAACGATTCGCAGGTGAGAATTCAACGGTTGCTATTTATGGCACGGCTTCAAAAGTTCCTCATGTTCGCAGATTTGGCAGGACTTTGTCCAATCCCGCGTGAGGGAAGCTCCGCATCATCCACAAACACCCAAAGGTCGACGGCTCCCGGAACTCGAGGATTTCAGTCCACCCTTATCATCGGGGAGAAACCTCTCACCCCCAAAATCCCCTTCTTCTTATTCGCAAAGTCCACATCCGGTGTGTGCTTTGTTTTTCTTCGTTCATTATTGTTTTTCACGTATAAGTACAAACACAATCAACGCGTGACTAATTTGTTTTTTCTTTTGTTTAATTCAGGTGACGCCAGAGACCAAACAGCCTCACTCGAATGCCACGGATTGCTCGATCGTTGAAAAACCTGTTGAGGAACACGTTACTTTTCGTCGACACAATGAGTCGATTTCGTCACAAACGAACACGTGAGTTGTCACCTATACCATTTAGATTCTATATGTACATACGTATAAGCGATTGTCCGATCACTTTGTTCTCTATGATCCTCGTCCAGCTCGAAAGAGTGGTATCTTCCAACCACAGGTACACACTGTATCGTTTTTCAGATTCCCTTTCCTCGACGACGGAGTGAAATCGGATGGCGCAACGGAGCTGTGGACACAATTGTGTACTCCAAATGTTGAAGAACAAAAGCCGTTAATGCATGACCATTTGCAGCCGTCGAGAGCGGGGGAGCGGAGATGCCCGTACCGATTCGTTAAAGCCGGCCGCATCCGCGAACGCAGGAAGGTCCCGGCTTTCGTCAAACTGGGCTCCGTCAGGCTGAACCTGACCAACCGATCACACAAACGAGACACGGCCGAGCCGTCCGAAGATCGCGACGACCCTCCAGTTCTCCCCTCTTCTTCATCGCATCATCTGGTCTCCAGCAGCGACGGACTCCCGGTGAACTCTGAGCAGGACGAGGTGGAGGCAGTCGCTCCATCGGCCCCAGGGGACGCCAGTCCAAGGGAATTGCACTTGCTGGTGCCGAGGAGCCTCGGCGGGGAAGCCGTTCGTCTGGTGGAGGAGTTCTCGAAGCGGTTCGGGGTGAAGTGGTCGGTACCCGGGGCGTCATTGGCTGGGGTGACTCACGTGCTCGCCGTGGCCAGAGCTCCGGAGTCCGATGTCGTGGGGAAGTTGCGGTTCGAGCACCTCCAGGCGGTCGGGTACCGTAAGTACCTCGTATCGGCGCGTTGGCTGGAGGACAGTCTCGGGGTGGGCCGGCTGCTCGAGGCTGGGCCCTACGAGTTGCGCCTCGGGCCCGAGGTACCGCTACCCGCGGCGAGGGTGGCGCGGGAGAGCGGCAGGCTGCTCCTCGAGGGTGTGGCTGTCGTCTGTGCCCGACCTTTTGGGCGATTCAGTCAGAGGCAGCTCGAGGTACTCTGCGTTGTATATTCGTATCGCTCGTTTCATTGTTTCTTAAGAACAATTACGAGGAATCAAGTCCAGGTTTCACACTATATTCGTATATTTGTCTATTTCAAATTTAATCGAAATTTTTTTTAGTTTTGTTCCCTTATTTCATCATTTTTGTATGGACATTTTTATCACTTTCTCGAATATTTTCAAGTAATAGTTATTATCGATTTTTATTTATTTATTCTTTTCTTTTTTTGCATCTTCCGATACGTCACTTAAATTCTTATCTTAGTTTTAAATCTGGACCATATTATTTCTCAAATCATCGGTTTTTGTCGCTTGACATTCATCGCTCGCTAAATTGATTTTAGTGTTTCAACGCAATGCTTATTTTTTCAGGAGCTGTTGGAATTTCACGGGGCGCTGGTCGTCCGGAGACCGAAACAGCTGCACGAACTCAAGAACTGCCGGGAGAAATATTGCATCGTGGGAGAGCGTAAATTTTATAATGTACCAAAGAGTAAGTAGCGTTTTTTTTTTTTTTTTTTTTTTTTTTTTTTTTTTTTCTTACAAAAGCGACACAAAGAGGATATTTAGTATATACATATACATTTCACTTATTCCGCAGATCGTAACGCTCTGGTCGATCGGCTCAAGTCCGTCCCTTTGGTCCACTATGAGTGGGTGTACGAGTGTTTCTCATCCTTTCAAAAGAAGCCGCCTCTTTTTTTCCAACTCTAATACACGTATGCGCCCGGTATTGGGGCTTTGATTTTACTTTATTTAACTCGTAAATTATCGTGCAATACGTTGGTATCGATGCTCGATAAAACATTTGTACCGCCACACGTATTACACATTTGTATATATGTATATTTAGCGCGAAAGTGTTGAAATTAGACGTCAAAAGTTGCGATATTCCGGTTTTTTAAAATAATACGATGTGAAAATAAGGTTTTTAATAATTTTAATTAATCAGTTTATCACTGCGTCGTCGCGTGTGTATGTGTGAATGTCCCTAGACTAAAAAAAGGGTCATCCGATGAATGAATAAAACCTTATTAGCCAACCACCATATTTTGCATGAAAAAAATGAGGATTCAGTTATTTTCTTTTTTGTTAGCGCAACATCAAAGTACACAATTATCATATGTATAATCGTTCACTTGAAGTTCGGTGTATTTAACAGCCGGATCGTAAATCTGATCTGCCCAAGCTTTTTCAATGAAATCAACGTAACGCGAAACTCTCGTGTACCGAGACGATCGTATTTTTTCGATGCAGTAGGGCGTTGAAAACGACAACACGCCGACCAGGATCTTCTTTTTGGCTCCAAAGTCGCTTACAACCAGTGGTCCACCACTGTCGCCCTGGAACAAAAAAAAAAAAAAAACAATCTTTCCAGTGCACGTTCACGTTGGTGGACAAAAGTATAATGTTTTCACGGTCGCGCGTTGAAATTTAATTACCCTGCACGCGCCCCGGTAAACGTCCCCCGAGTGTTGTTTCATGCGAGCACAAAACTGGTCGTCAAAGTTCAGCACTGTTTTACTGCTGATGGAGTGCAAGCAGTCGTCCTCGCTCAGAATGAGAGTCTCGCCGTGGTGCAGGCGCTCGTTGGACGATCCCTCGATGCGGAAGGTTCCATCTGGCTTCTCGATGTGTTTGACGTCGTTGTAGCCGAACCCGGTAAAATCGGCTTCGCTTCCTTCGTACGTCTTGTTTCTCTCAGCCAATTTTATCCGGTCGATCGTACCGTTGCTACTCTCGAAATTGATGCTTGTGTCCAACTACAAAAGTAACAGGAAACAAGTACAACGTTAGTCAACCTCCCCCTATAAAAGATCCCTTATGGACACCTACATGGAATCCATAAGGAAATCCACTGTAACTAGAAAACGATCGTAGATTTTATACTGTCGTTAAATGATGATTTTATACAAAAGTAGCATAAAGTAAGTACGACGCAAGTCAATCTCTGCTTATAAGATCCTTGTGGATTACTCTGGGGTCATATCATTATAGAATCTGCGTAGAAATTCACAAGGATCTTTTTTAACCAGAAAACGACGACGTTTCTGTCAAATTTTAGGTGCATATAAATTAAAAAAAAAAAAAAAATATATGTATATTTATTTTCCACTTACGCTCCTGTACATACTTTCAATACAGCAATGTCCGCATGTGCGATCCTGTGATCCCGATAAAATTCGGCAGGTAAGTAAATTCCTTTGACGAATCCTCGGTACAGGGGTTCATCTTTCAAGTAAATCGTTCCAGCCTCGACTTTAATGGTCATCGGGTCGTAAAGTATTCCTTTGTCGTTGGTTATACAGTGAGCAGCTGTTACCACGTGAACATCATCGAGGATGGCGCCATTGCAGTCGGCGATGGTGTTCGTGGTGCTGTGTTGAATTTCGACGTGCACGTGATAAGGATAATCGCCAAGTTTGACATCCAGGCCACCGTTTATGTTTTCACGTTCAAGAGATTGAACTAGAAATTTTCATTGTGTATTACAACTTTCATTCAAATGACAATACGTTGAGACAGCTCTTACATATTTTCTGGTAACTATATTTTAATGACATGCACGTGGTTTTTGAGTAATTTTTTGCCTTTTGCCACAAACGTATACTTCATCAAACACTTACCATTTTTTACTATTATAGAAATAATAAATGGAACATAAAAGTAAAAAACTGTTTTGATACACATTTTTTGTTCTTCAATTGTTCTTTAGGATTTTGAAAAAAAAAAAAAAAAAAGAATTAGTAAAGGTAAAATTTTAGTTTGTCAATGTGTTATTAATTCTATAAGTGGTTCTTCTTATATACCAAACGAATCTCAAATTATTCGTCGGAAAAAAAAAATTAACGTTTTCAAATTACCTGTTATCATCCATTATTTGTGCCTTTTCTTTTTAAATGCAAATGTAATCACATTACTACATAGTAAGTAATAACGATAAAAACTTACTTTCGTATGTTAAATAACACTTGCTGAAGAAGTCGAGACTTTTTAATATTACGCAACAAAAAAAGTAATTTTCGATGGTGATGTTATGTACTTAAATTATTGTTTGCACAATACATGTACCTACTTTCACTTCAGTTGGATGTACAAAAAGCAACTCCAAAATAACCAAAGATCATATTGAGAAAAAAAGTTAATTATTGCCTAATTAATAAATTTACTTTTACTCTTAAAAACAAATATTAGTTTTATCTCAACTCATTCGCTCGAGAATTAAATTTTTTTCGTTAATGATTCATCCAGTGTCAAGTAAAAGACTTACCAGTACGAGGTAAAAAGCCTTTTTTTAGCTTTGTTAGTTGATTGACTTCAAGAAGAATCAATGGACATTTTTTTATGTTCATTAAAAATATAAAAATAAATATTATTGGCAGAAATTAAGATTTCCATTGAATATTCATCGTGAGTAACGTGTAACATTCACTTATTTGCCGTACAACACTCATGGTTGAAAATATATGAGAAATGAAAATTTATATCACACTGTCAAATAGCTGTAGAGAAAAAAGTTTCAAAAACCTAAATTGAAAATTTTTAACAAACCTCAGTAATTTAGTGAGGATGGAAATAACACAATGTGTCAATGTGCCCCAATGGACGTGCGTACGCTCACGTTGTACAACATATTTAAAAACTCGTGTAGCATTGTGTACACAGTGATTCCTCAGTATACTTGTATAAGTGTATTTTTATATATACGTAGGGGTAATTAACCCTTGGGTCATTGTATCGTATTGCGATAAATATTAATTTTTACCGCAGTGTAAACATTAATTAATTACACCGAAAAGCAGCAACTACAAAATGTATGTGTCAAATATAAAAATACAATAGGTGCACGGAAAAAAAAAAAAAAAAAAAAAAAAACACTCAACATTTTAAATAAATTTTCGGGCGAGCCGATATAACAGCCTATATAGTTAAACATGACGTCAAACAAGCATTTCCCCGAATATTGTAGTTATATCAACAATTATAAGCATCTCACGTATACGAAGCCAAAATAGATGTTGTACGAGCAAACCAATCGCCGATCAAGCAAGTTCGATCGCTCTGAGGAAAACTTGTCGACAAGTCAAAACCGGCAACCGGCTCGTGTAGCGAGCGCCAACCTTTTGCCCCTTTGAATTCCGAGAAAAGCTCAAGCTCGGTACGAAAGAAAGATATAAACATATTGTAAACGGAGGGGAAAACCAAATAACCACGCGAGAGCAAACAAAATCATACAGGGTCTATGTGGTTGTCGTGTCCCCACCGCGAGCCAGCCCTTGTAGGGGCAACTTGTCGCAGCTCGACTCCGGGCAGCTCGCAGTCTCCGCTTGGAATTTAACGTCACTGCATCGTCCAGCCAGCCCTTCGGAAGAACTTTTCCAATACTATATCATTTTTCGTCCAGTCAACTTTGGCGCGTTATCATGGCTACTTATACCGTAAAGGGATACAAAACGAGGACCAAGCCAACGACGTTGGACAAGTTTGCCAAAATCATTGCGGACAACACATCGACAATAAAAGACGTTGATTTGACTTTGAAAAATTCGACATCGCTGATTCACACCGTGAGTCTTATTTCTCTCTCTCTCTCTCTCTCCTTTCTTTACTGCCATATTTTCGATCTCTCGCTTTTCTTGTTATACATGTTACGTGTACATTAATCTCTCTCTCTCTCTCTCTCTCGAGCTATAAGTATACTTATAACAGTCTTCCGTGACCAGCTTATTGTTATTTTACGTGTACATATTGCATTCTCTGCTGCAGGTAGTGTTTTTGCGCAACTTGGTATCTTAATTGTATACTCTCTGTACTTTTCTCTTTTCATATATTTTTTCTTTTGCCATAATACAAGTGTATAGGGATGTTAAAATGGCACCTCTGCATTTTAACATTCATCCAAAGAAAACGCAAAATAATTTCATGAGGCATCCCATGATTTTTATTTTCTTTATTTTACCAGATTGCAAGGAGTTGCAAACGGAGTTTGACGAAACAATTCACCAAGCAGCTGCAAACATTGTGGAGTGAAGGTCTGTTGAAGGAAATGGTGGAAGAGGAGTGGAGGAGCCGCAAGGTATATATAATATCGGATGAACAAATTGTAACATGAAAATGTAAAGGACCGTTTTGGGAAATTTACGTGCCATGTTTTTATTTGTTCAGGTACCAAATAAGCCACTGGCAACTTCCAGCCCGAAAGCGGAATCAAGTAAAACAAAGCTGGAAAAAAACACTGAGGTATTATCACGCTATTTGCATATACTTCTTCTCAATGTCGAACCCATACAATACAGAATTTCAACTCATGCTTACCAACGGAATTTAAAAATTTTACTTTCAGAGATCCACTGACTCAGCCTATCAATCGATCGAAGAACCCGAGGAAAAATCGATCCGTGAAGTATGTATATTTTATATTTTTTTGTATTACGCATATTTATTGATTTTGATGATAATGCCATTTGGTAAAATATATTTCGGCATCACTAATCACCACGCTCAATTGAATTTTCAGGAAGATGGAAAAGAAAATGTAATCATGGGTTCAATAAGTTCGGAAGACGATGCGAAATCCGAAAAGAGTGAGCCAATAATTCGTGCTGGGAGGAAACGTTTGTTCAGAGAACTCTCGGTTGACATGGACAGCTTGACCCCTTTACCCAAGTTAAGGAGGCTCAATTAAAGTTTGAAAAAATTGAGATACGGTATAAATCAAAAGAAGTACTTTAATTATTTGTTATTGGTTAATTTATTATTAATTAGCGCAAAAAATGTGTTTATGTTGGATAAATTTGTCAAGTGCCGCTACATATAATATAATTATATCTAGTCTACGCAAAGGTAAAGAAATTTTGTTGAATTTATATTTTTTGTTTGTTAAATTTGCGTGAAAATTATAATATGCTATGAATATAATCGTTGTTGTGTACAAATTATACGCACTTTAAGTGAAATTGTAATAAATTTAATTGTTTCGAGTTCAAAATCAATCATGTACTTGGTATCTTTCTTTAATGTTTAAAAATTAAAACCTATATCTACACCTACGTTCAATACCTCTATATTTGCTCTAAAAAACGATGTACTTTCATCAAACATGATATATATCATATAGTATTCAGTAAGTGTATATTGTAAGGGGGGGGGGGGAAAGATAAAAGTTATTGTTGCAACTCCTTCGATCCAAACTTTCGCGCTAACTTGAATAATTTCACCCGCTTGCGTCGTCGTATGGTTTTGTGCAGAAGAGCAGAAGGTTTCTGTTTACTATCTCAGCTGTTGACACAACAACGGGTAGTAAATAGCACGTGACACCTGTATAATGAGCAGTGAAAAAATTAGCCCCGGAGACGCGTCTTGACCATCGACATCTGCAAAACTGTGAGAGGTCCTCGTTACATCGCCAGGACGATGCAGTTACGCAGCCGGGTCCTGCCCCGGGCGCTGCCCGACGCTCTGTCTGTCGGCTTCCTCTTGGTCGTCGTGCCCCTCATCTACTGGTTCGAGCTGTGGGTGGTGCTGCCTGCGCTCTACCAGCCCGGGAGTCTCCTCTACGTGTTCCACTTCACCCTCGGCAGCTTCCTGATGTTCAACATCGTCGGGAACTTCACCTACGCCGTGCTCTGTGACACGAGCGCGCGGCGAGTTTTCGTGCACGCGTCCCGGGCCAGTCCCGACGACGGCTGGAGATTTTGCGCCGAGTGTGAGTGCCTCGCGCCTCCACGCTCTTGGCACTGCAACACCTGCGGTGCGTGTATCCTCAAGCGCGACCACCACTGTCTCTTCACCGGCTGCTGCGTGGGCCACTCCAACCAACGCTACTTTCTCATGTTCCTGGTCTACATGTTCTTGGCCACCCTCTACGCCTTTGTCTACAACAGCCAGTTCATCTGGAGCAGGATAGAGTTTGAATTCCCCATGACCCTGGTCAAGCTCGTCTTTCCCGTGGCCATATTCGTCTTTGGCTTCGACGGCTCTATCAATCAGCTCTACTTGATGCTCTACATTGTCACCGTTGTGGGAATGCTATTCACGGGTGTGCTCTGCCTGTACCAGTTTGACTTGGTTTTTAAAGGCTGCACCGCTCACGAGAAGAACAAGAAGAACTATGTCTACAGTCTGGGTTGGAGGCAGAACATTAGAGAAGTATTTGGCAACAGGTGGTATCTGGTGTGGCTGCTTCCGTACTTACAGTCCAAGTTGCCTCAGGATGGTGTGACTTGGCGCACAAAGTGCAAATGAACATTCATGACAACGAATGTAATCTCATCCAAGGGACCAAAGCTATATGTATTGTTATAATTTATGTTGTACTTTGTTACATATTTTTCTCATCACATCGTCATAAATTCATTTACAACAAATGACTTTTAGGAAATGATATGTACTCGTGTTTTTTTGAATGTGTTTATATTTTTAATTAACCAAAAGCAAGTGTGTACAGAGATTATCATTTGCAGGTATTTATGTAATTTTTATTAAAGTATTGTTATTTGAACTTTACGGAGAAGTGTAATTACTTTAGCTTGTAAGCAACAGAGGCTGAGTCTTTGATTATTTTTAATCTTTTGTATACATTTTTCTTAACAATGGTACCATTACTTATTTAAACAATGAAAAGTACAAAAACATGTATTAAATGTTATTTATTTATTAAAAGAATATTATGCAACAAGAGCTCCTAATGTTTTATTTCAAAATAAATCATAGTAAGTCGTTTATTAAAGATTTAAAAAAAAAATTGTTTTTTCTCTAAAACAAGATCGTGTTGTGATACTATAATGATTATACTTCAAATTTTCTACTATACTTATAAAATAATATTAAAATACCTATAGGTGTACCAACTCTAGTATACCGGCTGTGTCAAAAAAGTTAGGTTGATACAAAATTTATCAAAACTCAGGCTAGTGCCGTCTGCCGTCGGCAATTCGGCATTTGTGAATAAAAAAATAGAGAGAAACCTATTTTCATAGACTGACGTGTGAAAAGTGCTTGTGATAACAAATCTAGATTTGCGTACGAGTACTTGATTAGTGTAAATATATACTTTAAACGAAAAATCGATTACTCGGATAATCATGGCCTCACCATCCCCTAAATCACCCGAGCAATCGGAAAAAAGTCGAAAGTACGACAGACAACTGAGGTAAGTCCACGTGAGAAATAAAAATCTGTTGGATCTATTTATTTGCGGTAGTATTATTAAAATAAAATCCTCCTTAGATTTCAATAAACCCATCTTTCTTATTTGTCATTTTTTTCTATAATTTATAGGTTATGGAATGACCACGGTCAAGCACTTCTGGAAGCAGCTCACGTTTGTCTAATCAATGCCAATGCTTTAGGCACCGAGACTCTCAAGTCCCTTGTACTACCTGGAATTGGTGCCTTTACGATTATCGACGGACATAAGATTTTGGATGAGGATATTGGGTCCAAGTAAGTTTTTCACTTGCTACATCAAAATATGTGCGTTACTGCAAGCAAAACTTTACACTATAGTAGGATGCTTCTGTTATAGTTTACAATATATTGAATAATCAAAGGTTCTATCAAACAGTTTTTTTCTAGATGCCGAAAGCGCAGGAAAATCACGCGCGCAAGTGGCAACGCAATTGCTATTAGAATTAAATTCTGACGTTCGAGGAGACTATATCGATGAAGGACCAGACCAAATTTTACACAATAGTCCAGATTTTTTTAACAATTTTACGATTGTTATTGCCAGTAATGTGCCAGAAAAGTAAGTTTATCCACAAATCCATTGCAGGTTGAGAGCCAAACCAAATTGTACATTTTTGGTTTTAGATCACTCGTTGTGCTTTCAAAAAAATTATGGGAGCTTGATATTCCCTTGGTAGTTTGTAAGACACTAGGATTTGTAGGATCCATAAGGATTCAAGTCAAAGAGCACACAATTGTGGAGCTACATCCTGACAATGAGATGCCTGATTTAAGACTTGACAAGCCATTTGAGGCATTGAAAAATCACTTGGATAGCATAGACTTGGACAGCTATGACTTAAAAGATCATTCACACACACCTTACCTTACTATTCTTTACAAGTGCTTACAAAAGTGGCTATCTAATCATGATGATATACCAAAGAACAGGGTTGAAAAAGATGAATTTAGACAGTTAATTAAAGACGGTGTTAGAAAAGACGAACACGGAAATCCCGTTGACGAGGAAAATTTTAAAGAAGCACTAAAAGCAGTCACTACTTGCATTTGTCCTTCAACTGTACCAACTGGTGTCAAAGAAGTGTTCAATGATGACAAATGCATCAATTTACATGCCAAGGTAATTTTATTTTTTTAAACAACAATTTTAATATTAATTGATGTCTTTACTGTATGGTAATACTTGATTAAATTTCAGAGTACAACGTTTTGGATTATTGCAAAAGCTATTAGAGATTTCATGGAAAACGAAGGTAATGGCCTTTTACCTTTGAAAGGTGCTCTCCCAGACATGATTTCTGATACTGAAAAATATGTTACTATTCAACAATTGTACGTGATTTATATTTCATTCTTATGACTGATACCACAATGTTGGAATGCTAAATGTTTGAATTATTCATTAGGTATCATAAGCAAGCAGTTGCTGATGTTGAAGCAGTATGGAGGAGAACACTTCAATTACTGAGACAACTAGGTAAATCTTCTGATTCAATAAACGAAACAGATGTCAAACTCTACTGTAGACATGCCGATGAATTGCGAGTACAAAGAGGCACATCTGTCGCGGATGAATATGATCCCAAGTTGATAAATGCCAACGAAATAGGTATACAATTAATTACTAATAAACAGATATTTTTTCTTATGAACAAAGAAATATTTCAATATTAATCACTCTTTTTATTATCAATTTTAGCACAAAGTTTAGAAAATTCTGAAAGCTTGATGGTTTATTATGTAGCGTTAAGGGGAGTCGAAAAATTTTATACAGAGTACAATGCTTATCCTGGTGAATTTGATGATCACGTGGAGCCTGATATTGTCAAACTCAAGGTATAAAAAACGAATTTGACCCCATCAGTATTTTTGCATTACCATGAGTTTTTCATTCATTGTATGCATTATTATTTCACAGGCTTGTGTTTCAAAATTATTAGGTGAATGGGGACTAGGGGCGTTAGTTAAAGATGATTATATACATGAACTATGTAGATTTGGTGGTGCCGAACTACATTCCGTTTCTTCTACAATTGGCGGTGCTGCTGCTCACGAAATTATTAAATTAATCACACATCAGTACAAACCCATCAACAACACTTTCATTTACGATGCAGCCACATGCACTGGAACTACTTACTCGTTTTAAATTTATAGTAAAAATGACAAAACCACGACTGCATATATAGTGTATAATTATGGACAAACGAGGAAATACAATTTTATTATTTATACACCACTTGTTTATTATTAAAGGATAATAATTTGATTCAAAAACATTATATGATCCATTGACGTTACAGTAAAAAAAAGTATTATACATATAAATACCTTAAGTAATATTATATTTGGTTGTATAAAAATCAATAATTAATTATGGGCTCATTAAAAATTTTCGGTCCTAAACACTTTGCACGTGAAAAAATAAGATTAACTGAAGCTACGTCGAATTCAATTGCTTTAAAGATTAATGTTACTATTACTATCGTCTGCCTCGGCCTCTTCCTCTACCACCACGTCCTCCTCGAGCTCCTCTACCTCCACGCCCTCTGCCTCTTGTTGCTCCTGAAATTTATTGTATGAAAACATAGTGTGAGTTTTACAGCAGTAATATGAGATACAATTGAACGAAAATTAAACTGACCTCGAGCAGCTTCCTTCTTTTTAGCCTTCGCCTTAGGTGTGTCATCAATGAGTAACGTTTCCAAAGGTAAGGAATCTGGGAGAATGTAATACCTGATGTTGTTTCCCCTCAAACTAAGAGTATCTAATTGTATTGGATCTCTGTTCTTTATAGTCATTTTGACTGTTTTTAAATGTGTGTTCATTGCTACATCCACACCTGCAATTATGAATTATTAATGTTTTGATGGAGTTTGTCGAGTTACGAGTATTTTAGCCATATTACATATTAAAAAGAAATCAAACTAATGACTATGATTATCCTACTTTAAAATCAATTAAACTAAATGTTCTTACCAGTTATGGTTCCATGTACTTGAGTTCCATTTTTCAATTCTATCGTGACTGTTTCATGACTGAGTTTCATTAAAAACCTGAAAAAAATTGTTTACAATAAAAAAAAAGTAACCACAACGCTTATTTCAAGGTTAGAAACTCATTTCCCTCATGCCCAAACAAAGTAGATAACAAAACATAAGTTACTTAAAAGCTTGATAAGTTTTTTATAAAAATACTGAATTGTATCAACTAAATTACCTCACAAGTTTCATGATGCTGTGAAAAAATTAACGTAATATCGGAGAAAATATCACACCGGCTAATATACGAATTGAGTCCTCTCAAACTCTGCTCATACTATACATGTTGTGTATAATATATGGGTCATTTCACAAAAACTGCGATATTCTCACACACCCTAACTAAGATTTTTTAAATTAAATGTTTAGAATTTTTAAATTATTTTTTCTAACTTATACAAAGTCCAAATTAGTTGAAAACTTTTGGGCCTGACTCTACGATCATTTATTAAAAACCTACGTTAGTTAAAATGCATTTTTTTTTTTTTTTTTTTAATTTTTTAACGAAATTTCGATTGCCAAATCTGCACCTTATACCTTTTCGTAAATAAATTGTAATCGATAACGTCAAATCCCTCCGAGATTAGGGGCGTTACGATTATTTTACCGGGAAAAACGCTCTGTACTCTCTCGACGAAACTGCGATTGGCCATCTTCAAATTTGGAGCTGCAAAAAACTGACAGTCTTCGTACATTCCGAAATATGAAATAGTTAATTCCCAGTGTCTGAAAATTAATCGCTTGGCAAAATTAAATCATTTGTGGTGCGCAATTTAAAAGTGGCAAAAGTAAGGCTTCACAATAATGAAACGTCCGGTACTAGAAAATACAACTTTTTTTTCCGGTTCTAAACTAAGTATATGTTTGAAAAATTAAAAAATCAATGTCTAGTCGCCACCCAAAAATTTTTCGTCATGATCTCAAAAATGCATTTAGAAAAAATTGATTTACACCACTTCAAAAAAAGATTTGACTCGAAATAATTCGAACCGTCGTTTTTAATAAACGTGGGCGTCATGAAATATCGCATTTTTTGTAAAATGACCTATATACGTACATAGGTATTGATGAAAACAAAGCAGTATTCGGTAATCCTAACCTAACCTGCCAGTTTTGTAATGTTGGCAGTTGGCATCAGTGATTTTGTAAATTGGTAGTGAAATTCGAGTTTACGTCAGCTCATTGTCCTTCTACTTACTTGCTTATTTTGTAACTTTTAAGAGTAATTAGTAATTAAAACATTCGTTTTTTAAATAAGCTAGTACTATTAGTCAACTAGTTAGAGTATGGTAAGGAATGAAGGAACAAATAAAACAATACATTTGCATGTTAAAAATATTTATATTTTACTTATTTATTGTTGAGTAAAATTTTTCAAAATTCATCAGCAAGTATATGAAACTTTATTCACATATAGCTTTAACAAAATTAAAGTTTTTGAAAAGTATTTAATAGGCATCAACACAATTTTACTAAAGCATATTATTAATACTAAAGTATCATTGCTTAAAACGAGATTAAAATTTTTTAGACATACAGAATAAATTATNTTATATTTTACTTATAAACTTTAATGACATTCTTAATCTAGATTAGTTGGATTGGAAGTTTCACAGCCTCTTGTAACAAAAGCGTCAAGTTTTCATTACTTAAAGTATACATTTTTTAAATATTTGAAGCACTGATTTTGAAATCTGTCAAAATTGTTCACGCAAAATTCAAGACGATTGAAGTTCACATAAAAAAAGTGTTTGTTTAAAAAATCATTTTGAAATGTTACTGTTCAAAAATTATAACTTACTTAATTATTCACGCATTGTATTCAACTTGTCCACTTACACTGTGTAGGTACAAGTTAAATAAATGTAAAGGTACAAACGTAGTATGATTATAGTTTATCAATAGATTTGTTGATCAAGCTCAGTGTAACTGAAAAATAAGAGTTTCTGCATCGCTTTTGTGATCTTCAATAATTCTATTACAAACAATAAAATTCGTTCCTGTGAAATAATCTATATTGTCTATGAAATTCACTTGACTACTAAAATCACTATATTGAGGAATGCATTTTACAATTCCATCAACACAGTCAGTTTGACTTAGGTCTTCCAACTTAATATTATTTGTATCCATGACATTTGATGGTTTTAAAGTCCTTTTATTCTTTTTATATTCGTACTGCAAAGGCAATGTGACTGGATTTCTTTTGATGTACCTTTGAAATCGTGCTAAACGTGCTGTGGCTTTAATTTCTGTTTTTACAGTTGTCTTTCCTGGAAAAATCGTAGGATTGTAACCAGGATGGTACGGATGTTCGCTTTTTAATCCACCAACAAAGTGAAGACTGCAGATTCGGTGAGTTTTTTTTGGTTGCCAATCGGAATCGTATTCGCTGTACCAAGAAACAACATTGAGGTTATGATCAAATGACATTTTGTTTTCTTTCTTTTTTTCTAATTAATTAATTAAAAGTTAAAAGCTAATGAGTACTTAAAAAATGTTACCACTGTTTTTTAACGATTTCAATCCAAACTCGTCTCCTTTCACGTCTATGCTCAATATTTTCGCTTGGAAAATAATAACACTTAATGGGCCCACCATTGACTACGGAAATTTTTTTTGTGGGGCAACCCCTGACACAACAAATTTTACTATTTCTAGGCATGTCGTTGCTGGTAAATTTCATTTTTAACTTTGTTATCGTTCAGATGTTCCTCCTTTTAGCGAATCTCGATACGGCTGCCAACGTGACAACTGCCTTCAGAGCGTCTGGTCTGCGACGTTTTTGAGATTGTGCTAAATTTAGTCGCTAGTCGTTGCAATGGCGCTACTTGGGCCTAATTGACAGTGTATTACAGTATACTGAAATCGACTTGACTGGTTGCGTGGCGGAAATGTGCAAAAATAAGGGTGTCGATTGTCGAATCGAACTGTACGCAAAGTTCTCCGGAAAAGGCGATAAAAAGAGTAGGTGTATGGGTGTACATGAAACTTAAAACTTTGCGCGAGCCAACAATTATCCAATCAGATAGTTAATTTAAGTGCGAAAAATTGGCAATCTCCATGACCGTTGACCGTTGGCGATGGGGGCTCTTTGACATGGTAGTACACACGTAAACTTTTTTTTCAGCTCTGAGTCTTATACGATAAGCATAAAGATAATAGGTAATAGTAAGTAACAGAGGCGATTCCCAGAAACGCTATACCCGCTTCCGATAACTCATTCATTCATCAACATAATAGAGGCACGTGTTGCCGGAATGCGTTAAGTTCCTCCCCGCACACATGCAACTATCGCCTCAATCGGATTCATGAAGGAAAATTGAACAGTATATTAAAGAATTAAATTTATTTCATTTAAGCATATTTTTGTACAGAACTACTTAAAAATAAAAAATAAAAAACAGGGTGTAGTGAGGTAGTGGGGAGATTTCTATTAACGCAATCTGCAAACGTGTGCGGGGGGGGGGGGGTTACAGAACCGTTAGAACTTATAGAATATAAGGATGATGAGAGAGAATTCGTGTACAAGAAAGAAATCTCCGTTGTCCTCGCCGTTCTCATCTATTGCGCGCATTGCAAATATATACTCCATGTGATCGCTGTACTTAGCGGTTGTAACGAAGCACTCTGTCACACAAAGGTTATATTTGCGCGGCGTCCACCTGGCCGTCCCAACTGCCAAGATGTAAACAAAGTGAGAAAGACAACCAAGATTACCAAGATACGACATCCGCAGAGCTACTCAGTCGAACAAATCCACCCCCGGCGGGGGCCCCCCCACCCCTCGGGGCACTATATAGAATTATATATATATATTATCTCGCGTGTGCGTGTTTATATGGTGCGCAAAGCGCCGCCACCGCCACCGCCGCGATCTGATGCTCTGCTCTCTCTCTCAAAGCTGCCAGTGCTGCAAGACACTTCTCTTCTGCTAGAGCTCTGTCTCTGACGCATATATACATATATACAACTGTCCTTCACTCGCGCGTGTGTTGATTGATGTGTGTGACTGCCATATATCACATATATCGGTTAAAGTTCGCGAGTCACACACATTGTTAATGCTATATAGACTCCTCTGTCGCGCTCCGTTTTCTCAACATTGTTGTTGTTTTTAAATTTCGCTGTAAGCTCGTCTCGTGAGCTGGTTGCAGCTGCGCACACATACCAGGTGTGTGTTGAGTCTCTACTCGTAGAGATCTGAAGATCTCTCTCTCTCTCTCTCTCTCTCTGTCTGTCTACCTCGTGCTCGAGGAAGTATAACTGGCCGACTCCTGGGTACAATATATATATAATTCGCTCTCGCACACGCAACGAGCTGCGCTGGAAGAACAGTGAGAGAGAGAGAGATAACAGCAGGAGTGATAACGCCTCACAGTATATACATTTTACTCACGTTGGTGTTGCCTTGTATATACACAACAGTATATAGAGTGGCAGATACAGGCGAGACGGAAGAAGAAGCTGCAAGCGACAACCCCTTTCTCCCTTCCTCTCTCAAGGTATCGTGCGAGCTCTCTCTCTCTCTCTCTCTCTCTCTCTGTGTGTTATTATCTTGGTTTTTTTTTTTTTTTTTGTTTTTTCTTAATTTAATTTAATTTTATCTCTCCAAGTATACGTCCTGTTCTGCTCCTCCTCCTCCTCCGCAATGCGCGCCGTAGGTGTACACACACACACTTACATAGGTACCATAGATATTGTATTGTACTACTCTACCTTACACTGGTAAGTATATACGTATTGTTCCTCGAGCTCCATTCATCGATGCGGATGATGTTGTACATTATTAATGCGTCTGCCTTTCATTAACGTATATCTCCTTCTCTATGGCACATCATTGTATATGTACAAGATAAGTACCTACACGTCGTGTGCTTCGTATAGCACGAAAGTGTTTATACCTCCTTATACACACACACACACACCAGTTGTTCGAGTGTATGGTCGTCTGGGTTATCTATTTTGTTTATTTTCCTCCGTCATCCACCTCTCGCCGCTCGCCCTCATCCTAATACATACTTACGCGTAAGCCTCGTCCTGTGATCCGTACCTACATATGCGTACGGGCACGTCATGTGTAAAGGTACATCCTTATCGTGCCCTTGGCCTTTTTTCGATTGCCGCCCTCGGGCGACCCCCAAAGCTAGGCTCGTCTCATCCTCTTTTTTTTTTCTTTTCTTCTTCACCTCCTAATATGACCCGCGATCGAGTTTCTTCCGACTTCTGTCGCAAAAACTACTCTATTTTTTTTTTTTTTTTTCTGTCTTTTCCATCGCTTTTACGTTACTCATGAATGTGGGTGGGTGTATAATATAACTCACCGCAAGAGCATCGGACAGAGAGACAGAAAAGAAGCTGATGGACGTTCGTGTGTTGGTGCGCGGTACTCTCTCAGCTCTCAGCTGATGTTTTCATCGCGCCGTCTCGCTTCATCATCATCGACCACACATGTATACATTGTATATTGATGCCGTGCGTGTAGTGAGCAAAAAAAAAAAAAAAATAAAATAAAGCCACCATAATACGTAACATAAATTATATACATATCATAATGTATCGAGGGGGCGTATTGTGACCCGGGACCCGCGTGTGTCTAGACAGACCATAGGCTCTCGCACACGTGTGTGTCCGACTTTTCAAAATTTCGCGCGAGGCTTCGGCGTTATTGATATATTGCAATGTTTATAATAAATATCCACATGTACGTCCTCCCGTCATTTCTTTTTATTTTTTTTTATTTATTTATTTATTTTTTTTTTGTTGGGAAAAAAAAAAATGCGGAGGTGTATATTGACACAAACGAGCGGGTCTGACGCGAATGAAAAAAAAAAAAAAAGAAAAAAAGAAATCGAGCTGCGTTATTTTCACACTATCAATATTTGCATGACGATAAGGAAAGACTCGCGCTGCGTTGACGTTTGTTATTGTTGTTTCGATGCGCGCGCTTTCGCTTTCCAGTGACGTTTTTACCCTGCCACACGCACGCACGGCGTATAGAGGTATATTACTTTTACAACGGAGAGCGCGATGTATCATTTTTTTTATTTTTTTTTTTTTTTTTTTTTTTTTTTCTTTTTTTTTTTCTCTTAGAACAACAAAGCTTTCATTTTTCCTCTCTAATGTCTAGAGAAAGTGTACTTTTTAAGATGTTTTCGTGGCGACTGAGTTCTCAAAGCTGAGCTTCAACTCTACTTGCGTCACANTTTTTTTTTTTTTTTTTTTTTTTTTTTTTTTTTTTTTTTTTTTTTTTTTTTTTTTTCTTCAATCCTCAATCAGCCGGGTGAATTTTACTTTAATTTTCCAATATTGCAAGCTCGATGACAGCTCGATTTGGCAGTTTTTATACTTGAAAATTTAATTAAAACAAACGAACAGCGATTCGTTGCATTACACTTTCTTCTAGTTATTTTTCTCAATTAAATAAAGGCACCCGACAAAACCGTCATGCATGTGTGTATACATATATACACAAGGGAAAGGTGGGAAAAACGTGTCCAACACCCACGTGATCTCCTGTCAATATTTTTTTTCTGTCATCGAATAATAACACTATGATATTATGATATTGTACACATCCAAGAAGGTAATACCCTATACGATTGATAACACACGTACTTACCCCAAAAACAACATTGTCTCGCATATACGAGCGAATGCAACACACAAAATATACCTGGGATGGTATGTATATATACATACAAATATGATTAATCCCAGTCTGCAACGAGTCTTGGAAAATCCAAATTATTATGTGCCGCTGCATGGACCACATTCGTATACGCGATTCACGAGACAAGTTCCGCATACCTTACACACATATGTAAGGCACACGTAAAGAATTGGCTAGGAACATACAATCCAACACGAGGCTGAAAATTAAGTTGCGCACGTGGATCAACAAAAGAACCCCGTGCTCGGGTGTGACGTGATTGCTTGCATGTATTGTTCATAAAAAATTTTTTTTTTTTTTTTTTTCATCATCTCCCTTTGTATATAACATCTGTATACACATAAAATACTACGTATAATACCTACGTGTTTTATGTTATATAGATAGTAATATAGTTGGAGAAAAAGCCCTCTGATCTATACATATACATATATGTAGGAGAGGGTCACGAGTCACGAGGGATGGATGTGTATATTACATATACATGTACGGCACGCGTGTCCTTACTCCCCTCCTGCCCTTATATTTTCCTTCCTTTTTTTTCTTATGTCCATCCTCTCTATAGAAATAAATATATATGTATATAGGGCGAAAACAAAGAAGGAAAAGTGACCGGAGTAAATGGGTGTGTGAGCGTATGACGTGTATATGGTTGACGAGATTGATCAAAGTTCTTGTGGTTGTATAAGCGCTTACATAGTTTGCCTTTCCCCCCCCCTCCCCCATTGTTTTTATTTGTTTATCGCGTTATCGTACGGTACGTAGTTTGCGTCACTCGGTATCGTCCCTTTAATTTTTTACCGACGAAAAAAACCCTTTGTCGACGATTTAAAATGCTTCATCTCAATTCGTACCTACACTCGCGATTATATGTTTATTTTATTATACTCAAACCGTTCGAGTCGGGATGTATTGAGACGAAAAAAAAAAAATAAACCGTAAAAAAGGCACTCTGGGCCATTTATCTTAAGTTTTTTTTTTTAATTTAAAAACAATGCCGCGTGAAATCCTCCCCTTTTGTAACGTCAACAAACGGAAAACGTGCACTATACACCGTCAAGAGATGGCTTTGAATGCGTGTTTGTGTGCGAAAAAGGAAGAGAAAATGAGACCAGATACGTGTACGAAAGAAAAAAAAAAAAAAAAAAAAAAAAAAGGAGGAGAGAGTCGCTGGAGGCGAGTCGCAGGTGTTTGGCGAATCAACCCCTGCTGAGCACACCACCATCGTGATTATACCATAATCATTAAGATGAATAAAAAATAAAACAAGAATGATTGAACCGCCAGTCCGAAGATGTTGCGGGAAAAGTGCCGCAGACATTTTTTTTATTCGAGGAGGTGAGCTGTCGTCACACTCCGCACGGAGCTGCGTTGCATCAAAACTGCACGTGTACAGCGAACGACGGAAGGAAGTCCATAAATATACGTGGAGGGAGAGAAAAAAACAGGAGGCCGTAGCGAATGACGGAAGAGAGATGAGAAGGAGGAAAAGAAGAAGAAGAAAAAAAAAAAAGGCAAAGACCCTCCTCTCCGCAGTGACGGACCGCCAAACAACAACGGCCTGTGGTGAGTTACGCTGTGTATTTTTTTTCCTTTTCACGCTTTTTCTTCGTCTTTCTCTCTCTCTTTTTTTTTTTCGTTTTTTCCTCCCCAATTGATTTTTGGTGTTTCGCTCGAAACACTGGCGCGTTTGTAGACACAAAAGAATTTATATGTACCTACAAGTTAGTCTCAAGGGGTCCTGTGAACTCGCACGTCCACGTTAACAGCAGTGGCCCTCCGGCTGATCAGGAAAGAGCACACGAGCTCTTGATTATTTCGATCGCTCGGAAAAACGCGAGAATTCGAGCTGCTTATAGACTCACTACCTTTTTTTTTTTTTTGTTTTTTTTTTCAAGTTGCTGTTCGCGCTGGTTCGATGAATAAAGTAGTGGCGGAATCGTGAACAAGAGAGAGGTCTCTTCACGCTCGATGCTAATTATTGATAATTATTGATAATTCAGTTCTGTCACTTAATGAAAAGACTTTAAGGATATTTGGAAAATTGATCCAACGCGTGTAAAATACAATGTAAAATTATGAAGGAAAGGGTACAACTGATTACTTTGTTACGTCGGCGCAACGTACTATTCGAGCCTAAGCTTTCGCTTAATAACTCGGGACTCGCACTGGGCGCGTAGGTGGGACGCGGGGCTAAAAGGTAGTTATTTTTCTTGTCTGAGTATTTGAAAGGGGGTGAGGGCGACCGTCTTGATTAAATCGACGCGGTTGTCGAGCAATTATGTGATGCACTTGTTCGCGGCGCGCCTCGGATTTATCGAGGATACCTGGTGTGACGTGTCGTACCGTATCCCGTTCGCGATCTAGAGGTTACCAGTACCGTAACGAGCAAAGGTAGTTACACTCTAGAGGTTACGCAAGGGGGCAAAAATGGTTTAAGTTCGCAAACGGTCTAAGATCCACCAGTACCATCCGGAGTAAATGTGATTTTCCTAGACTTTACGTGAGGACTTATTTGTCTATTTAATCTCGTAACGTGGTATTTACCGATACCAAATTTCAAACTCTAACAAAAACACGTCCGCGTTTGGAACCGAGAGAAAAAAAAAGAACTTGTCACTTTGTATTTGAATTCGATTTACTTTAATTTTTTGATATACAACGTACAGCGGAATGAACCAGCGCGAGGTGTCCGAGATCGAAGATTGAAAAGCGCACTCTTGGAGGACCGTGAGATAGCAGAGGCGGACTCTAGCTACCTAGTCAACCGTTCGAGGGTGAAAATTAAACTGTGACTGTACCTCGCTTCGCAGTAGACTGGGTTGTAGCAGA